GGGGATTGGAGAGGGCAGGGGTGGAGAGGCACAGAAGGGGCAGCTGTGAGTCCCCAAGAGGGGGAAAGGAGGGAGACCGTGCACTGGTCTGGGGAGAGAGCTGGACTGTATAACCCTTAGAGCCTATGGAAACACCATAAACTTTCACAACCATGCACAAATACTTGCCATTGACTAAAACTCTGTTCTCATGACGATGGTCCTCTGCTGCTTCAGCTTCCTACATGTATGTTCCACATCATCTCATCTGTCCCTCAGAGCAGGCCAAGTATTAGAATCCCCATTTGGCAGATGGAGAAACTAAGGCCCAGAGAAGTGAAGCCCCCTTTTCTCCTCCATTTTAAGTGTGGACCTCACTCTCTCCCCTCCCCCACCTGCCCTGCGAGTGAAAGCTGCACCTCCAGGTAGGCTGTAAGATACATGTGGCTCAGCAAATGTTTGCTTTGCATTTCCAGGATCATCAACAAAAGGCCTCTGTGTTCACCTCGCAGACACATGTAGGCCCCAGGCCACCACGCTGCCACATCTTATGGGTGGTGCCCGAGAACAGAGGTCCTCATTGTGAGGGAAGGCAGTGGCGACTCTCCACAAAGCAGGGCATCCATCGGGAAGGCTGTGGGGCAGGCGCCAGGACGCCGCTTCCTGGGTTCCACAAACGCAGTCCATACAAGTACAGCCAAGCCTGGGCTGGGGAAGGCAGGCCTGGCACAGGAGGTGCGTCTTCCTCCTCTTATTCTGCACCTCCCCCTAAAGGAAACGTTGACACCATTGCCTGGTGCAAAGACCCGATCCCAAGGGCTGCTGCTTGGATGCAGGAAATGTAAGGAAAAATCCTGATAAAGATAATTAAATGACCCAACACAGGAGCCTTTACAATTGCAGGAGCAGGCCATCTTTACCATCATAATTCATTCTACAGATGAAAAATGAAGGGCAAAAAAGGGACCAAATTGCCTCAAGACAACAGCTAGATTTGAACTTGGACTTGACCCCAGGTCTTCAGAATCCCAGAGGCCTCTAATGAGTTCAGCACAAATCCTGTCTATAGTATAGCACGTTCTCAAGAAAAACCAAAAACAAAATCAAAAAACAGTGGAAACGACAGTGATACCAAAAGCCAGCATCCACAGAGTACTCACTGTGTCCCTGACTCTCAGCACCTATTGTCACCCCATTTTACAGATGAGGGAACACAGGCAGCTTTCTCAGGTCACCCTGCTAACAAGTAGCAACACAGAGCTTTAAATCTGGACCCCCGGCACTTGAATTGTGTATACTCTGCTAGTTCTGGGCTGGGCTCACCTGTCATATAGAGATGGCTTGCTCACATCTGATGCAGGGTCTCCTGATACTTTCACCAGCAGTCCCCCACAGACACTTACTTAGAATCCTAGGGCCTGGGAAAGGGGCTTTTCTCCCATTCACAAGCCTCAGAGAACCTGTAGGGAGCAGGCTGGGCATTTGTGGAAATGAGTTTCTCTGTCTAGGAGCCCCAAAGGCCCAGCCCAGCTGTTTATATGTTTCTGCTGTTGCCCCTCCACAGATGGCAGTGAGGGAAGGCAAGAGGGGACAAGCCAAATGCATGGCTCTCGGGTAACTGCCTGCCACCCACTGGCACACCAGTCTCCCCATCCCCAGTATGGTATCTGAATGCGCGAGCAATCCTCAGACAGGCAGGGACACACTCTCAGCTTCTCCTTGGGAGTTCAGAGCAGAGGTGACAACTGCAGCAGTCAACAGCCACTCAAAAATGCCCCCCAAGTACAGGTCCCTCAGCCTCATCTGGAGAGAAGACAGGTATACCACATAAAAGAATGATATGTAAACAAACCACCTCTGTGTGAGCAGGCTACATGATCACATATGTATTGAAGCATCCTAAAGAGAAATTGGGGTTGGTTTCCCTGAGATTTTATTTATTCAATAATTTAACAAATATCTGCATGGTCATTATGTGCCAGGCACTGATCTAGGTGGAGACCCAGATATGAACAAGGCAGGCAGAGTCTCTGACCTCATAAAGCTTAAAATTCTCTAACCACATGGAGATCTGACTTACCAAACAGAAGAGCAAAGACATTCTATCAAATCTTTCGGTTTTTTTCCACACAGAAGACAAAGGCACTTAAAGGAACATTTCTATCTATCAATATAATTAGCAGATGAATCAAAGCTATCAAATGCTAGTGTTTTTCTTTCTTTCTTTTTTTTTAGGTTACTAAATGAATTCATTCATTTGTCAAACAAAAAGCCAACTGGAAAACCCTGTCCCTCAGTAACATATTAGCCAAAAGAAACAAGTGATCCCCATTCTCTCATTTAAACCCCCGCTTTTCTCTGCAGACCTGCTGTTCACACGTGTTAAATATTAATTACAACTGTTACTCATTAGTACATAGCTAAAAGCTCCCTACAAACACAATTGTTAATTTCCTCACAGGCCAAAGGCATTCTGGGAAGCTGTGCAGGAGGCAGGAAGCAGGAAGCATTATGGGAGCCCGAGCAGGGCTAATAGTGAGAGGAGGTGGTATGTGTTAGGTGCGCCAGGTGATCGTGGCAGGTCTAAGATTCCCTAAAGAATCTTCTGCAGAGGCCGAGCCTGTTTATTCTGAGTGCAAGAGGATGAGTCACAGGACTTGGTGGGAACAGCAAGCCTGGAGCAGTGTCTGACACTCACAGTGTCAGGGCTACCAGCTTTGGAGTATTTGTGTTTGACTGACAGTGACAAGTTACGAGATCAGCATGAAGTGACCGCAACTGCTTCTGCCTCAACAACAACCTGAGCCACCTTGCACAAGCACAAGGTAAAGGAAACTTTCAGACTTGCCCTCTCTACACTCGAGATGTCAATGAAGCAGAGCAAAAGGCTTTGCAGTCAGACTGAGTTCGTTAGCTGTGTGAGTGTGGGCAAGCTGCTCACCCTCTCTGAGCCTGAAGATGGTCATCTGTGTGATGACAGTGAAACCATACCCAGCTTGCAGGGCTTCCTAGGGTTAACCCATGCCAGCTTCATAGCTGGTGCTAAGTGTTAATTTCCTGTCCTCCCCTGCACATACACACACCCTCTTCCCCGCTCTCGCCTCTGCCATCTTAATAGGATTATTTTAAATTAGCCAGCTGAGTTGGCTCAGAGATGACTCACAATTGTTTAGATAATAGATATACCTGGGACTTTTCTTTTCTGTCCTCTTAGAGCCTCACTGGATAAGGCTGGGAAGGTATCAAAACTCAAAAGGGCACCTGGTTAAGGGGTGACCAACATAACATTAGCTCCCCAAGTTGACAGTGACAAGAGTGTATCTGGCTGTTCCAGAATAAACCAATGCACACCCATACAGGATGTGGTAGGCGCACACAGGGGTCTCAGCCCAACCAGGAATGAGAGTGGAGAAGTGACTGGTCATGTCAGGGAAGGCTTCCTGGAGGAGGTAAAATTGATACCAGCCAAGGCAAGCTGTGATCTCCCCTCCCTTCCCTAACTCCTCTCTGGCCCCAGCACCTAACAGTACTTTCTATCTTCTAGGTTCTCAAAGTGGGGTCCCTAGATCAGCATCAGCAACACCTGGGACCGTGTTAAAACTCCAAATTCTCATGCCTCGTCCCCAGAACCTAGTGAATCAGGAACTCTGGGGTTGGAACCAGCAATCAGTTTAGTGCTTCCTCCAGGTGACTCCAACACATGCTCTGGGCAAACCAACCGATCCATAAATGTGTCACAAGTAGAATGAGGAAGTGGCAGAGGAAAGAAAGGCAGTGGGGACCTTCTCACACCCAGAGACCAGTGAAAAAAGAATGGAAGACTTGGGTGGCTTATGGTTAGAACTCTATTGCTGGAATTGAGATTTCGGATTTCTAACAGAACCGCTGCTTTCTATATCCATGAATCTCATTGCCAGACATAACTGGAATGAGATTTGTAAATGGGTCCTCTGTGCCCTCTAAGTACTCCTTTATTCAGTAGTACTGTTTTAATATTAAATTAACTTTTATTTAATACAGCAATCCTTCCCTGAACACCAATAGTCATTTTCTCATGCATGACCCTTTAGGGCTTACAAAGTCCTTTCGTACAGATCTTTCTCCTTGACCGTCACAGAGATCCAGTGTGGCAAGGGTTGTGACTATCTCCACTTTACAGATTTTATAGAATCTATAAACAGAATCTGCCTGAGGTTCCACAGCTGGTGAGTGGTGGAACTGGCATGTGAACTTGGGATTATCTGACTCCTTCTGTCCCACCGGCTCCTCACATGCAAGACACTGTCCTGAGCTTTCTAGGGCAGAGAAACCCACCAAGGAGCTAGCGGGTAAGACAGACAAGATCCCCCAAACAAGTGTGTTCAGCACTGAGTCATAGGTCTGTCTTCGTTCTTTGCTGGAAGGCAGAACTGTCCTGGTTGAATTAGGATACAGCCTAAAAAGTAGCTTCAATAGAGACACATCTTCAGACAGTGAGTCAAAGATGAAATGACTTTATTTCCCTAAATGATCTTGAGGGTGCCCTTCTCACATTCTTCTTCAGCCTGGCTCCTTGAGCAAGGACTCTGATCACCCGCTTCTCAGAGGCAATTGCAAATCATTAAGGATGTCGCTTTTAACTTCACTCACTGAATTAAAAGGAAATGTTGATCCATCCTCTGTGTATAGCCTGACTGGCTGTGCTATGAGGTCTCCAGTAGTTCCCTTCCTCTCTGAGCCTGTTTCCCCATCCGGACAAGAGGGAATGGGATGCCATGGTGTGAGGGCCCCTCCCTGTGATGAGTGGTGGCAGAGCATGACCGAATCATGGCATCTCAATAGTCACCCAGATGCAGGCTCAAACCTCCAGAACTTGGGATCCTACAGAATCCTCAGCTGGAGCCATTCATTCCAAGTGGGAACATACACTCAGAATCACATCCAACTAGCTATAGATATAGGGAGAAATCAGTGCAAGGGTGATATGAAAGGCATGTGGCATCTCCTGTGGGCTCTGGGAAGGTGAGGGCTCCAACCGTATTTTATGCAGCATCTGGGATGGCAGCAGGGAGTCAGACGACAACTGGGTTAGGGCTAGCTCTCTGGGGTCGGACTTCTCAGGTTTGATCCAGGCTCTGTGGCTGACTAGGTACGATCCCATGGGCAAGTTATTTCTTCTCTTTGGATCTCAGTTTCCTCATCTGTAAAAGGAGGAAATTAATCTCCCAGAGGGTGGTGACGAGGATGAAATGAGGTTGACGCACACAGAAGGTGTTCCACAAATGCTAGCACTTTCCCGACGCGGTGTCCTTTAAGCCTCACCAGGACCCTCTGCAGTGGGAACATTTCCCAGGTGAGGGAATAGATGCTTCCAGGGCAGGTTCGATCTCTGTCCTCCCAGTGGCCACTCTGAGGTGCGAAGGCACCAAATCTGTACCTTCCCGAGCCAGGGTCTGCTTCTCCAGGATATCAACCCAGCTCCTAAGCCCTTCCTACCTCCTATGCAGGCTCCATTTGTCCATCTGACAATCTGTGCCACAACACCAGGGGCCGGTCAAACCCTCCACATCAACTGGCGCCACCCTGAGACAGTGTGGAATCACCTCAGGGTGCTTCTCCTGTCCCATACTGTGTAGGGAGCTCCACAGAGCCCTCGTGTGGGCCCAGAGTAGCATCTGGGAGCTATGGGCTTGGCCGTAAGGCCATTTCTAGACCCACCTGCCTGCCTCACAGTTTGTTGCTGTAAAGACTCCCAGGGGGTGAGTCAAAGCAGGCTGGGAACTTAGTCTAGCCAGCCCTGAAGGCAGGTGTTTCTGCCGGGTGGAAAGCAGGCTGATAACTTGATAGAAGCCACACCGCTTCTTCATGATGGCAGTGCTACAACTGGTTTCCAGCAGCCAGTGGTGAAACTTGACCAGGCATCTGTCTTGGGGGCTGGGATCAACAAAGGCCACAGAGTGGGATGGGATCCTCTGGGCTGGTCAGAGTGAGGGTAGGGGTGGGGGTTCTGCCTAAGGCCACAATCGGCTTCCTGGAAAGACAGCAGGCAATGAAGGCCCAGGGATTTTTGGAGAGCTTGTGGTATTTCTTACTTCCTTGACCACAGAAAGACTTTCATTCCCAAGAAGCTAGGGCCACCTTACACCCTGCAATAGCTGTTTTCACAGCAACCAGGAAGTGATAATCAAGTCTTCCTGAGGCTGCAGCCCCCAGAGTCCGGCTGAGATGAGAAAGGTCTGAATTCCATAAAGGCTGGTCTGGAGCCCCCAGCCCAGAAGGGCTACTTTTGTGGAGAATACCAAAGCCCCTTTTGAGAAGTGCCTCTTTTCATGAATGCAACGCAGGACAGAACTTTGAAACGCAGAAAGCACATTTGCTTCATTCATAGATTGTATCATGGAGCTAATTCGGAGGCCTTCCCTTCTACCTGTCTCTGACCAGCATGCTGGGGTCCTGTTGGAGGCAGCACAGCAACATCCTTGGCAGTGACTGAAGGCCAGCCTCCCACCGCTGGCAAAGCTCCCAGTGAGGGGAAGCTCATTATACAGGTATAACTGAAATTCTTACCACTTTCTTGGACCCTAAATCTCTATGACTCCTCCAGCTCTGCCCTTTGGGGGTCCCTCACAGTCACGCACTTTGCAAATTTGAAAACAGTAACCAGGTTCCCTGCCCAGGTTTCCCCATTCAGGCTTAACATGCAGAACCAAAGAATGTAAAGAGTAGAAAGAGACCGTAATGATTTTGCCTAGACATTTGGATCCCACACAGACGTTCCCTAGCTATGGATCCTGTATCCAAGGCTCCTAGGACCCATCACAGAACTCTCAAGAGCCCGGAAAAGCTGTGTGGGCACTTCAGACACGTATGGTAGTAAGGAACACAGGGTCTAGTGAAGCACTGCTTTGCTCTCTGCAACACCAACACACACACACACACACACACACACACACACACTTTACTCAAGCACGATCACTATCCTTCATTCCTGAGCAGCCACACTTCTAGGTGTACAAATGAGACTGTGGCAGCACTTCAGCAATCGAGCCAATAGAGCTGTTGCAACTCATCCTCGTTACCTGACAGGTGGTCCATCCACATCTCACTCCATCTCCACTCTGGACTGAAAAACAGGAGCGTGCTCCTCACCCACCAACATGGCACCCGACAGGCTCTATCTACAGATGTGGGGAGGGATCCAGTCATGATCAAAGGCTAGTGCTCACAGCATCCATCCAGCCCGAGTCAAACAGCTTCCGTCTATGCCCCTAAAATCAGAACTGAGCCAAAAGCTTCTGGGGAGAAGCACAACCAGCATATACTCTGGAGCAGGGCACACAGAGATATAAACTGCTTGATAAGACACAGACAGGGACATCTTTATGAGTCTGTCTTCTATTGGCAGCCTAAGACAACAACATATGATGACACTTCTGATAGTAACTCAGCAATGTAAAACCTAGTCCAGAATGAATACCTGTGGCTCCAAAACTTACTCAGAGACAATTCTTCTGAGACCTTGCAATCCTTTGTGAAAAACTATGTATACATTCTAAAACCACCTTTGGGCAGAAGTGGACAAGTTCTGGCCTGAGAGCCATTTGAAAAGTTGATGTCCAGTAGGGGAAGTGCATTTCACTTAAATGTGTACACGGACAACCTGGAGGTCTTGTTAAAACAGATTCTGACTCTAGGTCTGTGGTGGGGCCCAAGACCCTGCATTTCTTACCAGTTCCCAGGTGATGTGATGCTGCTGGTCCAGGGACTATATTTTGAGCACAAGACTAGAGCATCAAAGGTAGCACAGCCCTCGAGAGGCCTGCAGGTGCTCAGCCCAGGAGACGGTGCTATCCTATGCCATGGGCTCTCACTGTCTGGAAGAGCTATCACATGAGACCCTTTAGCCCTTTAATCAAACTGGTGTTTGCAAAGAGCGAGTCTGACAGCACTGGCTCCGTTCTAGCTCCTCTCACACCCTGGAGGAGTGCAGTCCCTGGTCAGCGATGTCGAGGGAAGGGACAGTCTTTGGATTCCCTTGTGCCAAGGAAGCGAAGAGGCTATGAAATGCATGGGAGGGACCTGAGGTGACCAGGGAACTTCTGCCACACGACTTCTCATCTCTGGCTCTGGGCTGAGCACTCACAGCCTGGCAGGTGAAACCAGCACCTTCAGAACAAACTACGTGGTGAGAGAGAAATGTTCACCAAGGATAAGTACAAGAAGCTCGACATGCCCGGAGGGACAGTAAGAAAGCCCACGGATGAATGGCTGTGTAGAGATGGTGACGTTTGAGCTGGGCCTCTGAAAGAGGCACAGAATTTTTCCAGCTAAGATAAGGCAGGGAACAACATTGGCAGAAAGAACGGGATTTGTACAGAATGTGCTACATCCAGGGAACTGCGAGTAGTATGTACTGGAACATCCAGAACATCAACTGAGGGACATGATGCGGGTAGGGCAGAGGCCTCACTGTTGGAGCTAGGAAGGGAGGAAGGGTCTAGTTGTGCACGAAAAGGGGAAATTTCAGGCAAAAATGAATCTTATAATTAGAACTCTCCCTTGATGATCTTCAATGTGATGAGAGTTAAATTAGTCACTTGGTATCTCATTTTTCACATATCTAAACTCTTAGATGCATAAGAGGTTTTTTACATCTGGCTTTTTACAGCATACCATTAAACAAGCATTTCTCTAGGTTGTCATAAACTTTGACAACATGACTTTTTAGTGGCTGCACTAAAAAGTATGCCAGTTCATCAGTCCCTGTGTGCTGGACATTCAGGCTGTTCCCCATCGTTTATGATCAGAAACAATGACTTCTCTAAATTTTAGATCGGAACCTTGACATGAATCCTAAGGACTGGAATTAGAATTGAAGGGTGTGAACATAAGCTTAAGACCTGTGATGCGTGTGGCAGACTGTTTCCCAAAAGGCTGTGGGAGAGGAGTTTTAGGATGGGGATGGATACCTGGATTCTAGAAAACCAGTCTCGGAGTGAGACGGAAGGGAGCCACCTGAGTCATTCAAGGGGCTCTTGGCCAGGGGGAGGGCCAGCCCCTGATGTGCCCGTGGCCTGTGCTGTGAACAGGTTCATGCTAAAGCTGGGGCAAAAATGTAGCAGCCCTGGATGCGTACAGGCCTAATGCAGCCACGACCAGATGGATAGAAGCATAAGGCTCCCTCAGGCACAACAGGAACCGTTTTGCAGATGGATTTTTAGTGTCTAGGAACATTCGTTCTGAAATCTTGGCTTTAGTGAGCTAGAGCATTACCAACAGGACCAAGACAGAGTCAGACGATGACATTATCTGGGCTGCCTATGAAGAGTGGGGAGACTGGCAGTGACACCAAGGATTTCCCTTTGGCCTGGCCTCCCTTCCCTCTAGGTCCCTCCTCACCTTTGAGGGGTCTAGAGATACTAGAAAAGAGAACAGCCCGACTGGATTATCTAACAAAGCCCTGTGGTTTACCTGAGCAGGCAGGAGCTGGTGCACTGACTCCCTTTACCAAAGATGAATGTCAAATATGGGTCACCGGCCACTGGCTCCTTACCTGCCAGAGCTGGGATGGTGACCCGGTTCCACTCCCATGGCTGGTCATACTCATCGGCGGGCCTGTCGTCATCCTGGGGCAGCTTGCTCTCCCGCAGTCGGGGGCTGACGGTGCTCTCTGAGTCCGAGTCGATGCTTTGGCCCTCGGGTTCATAAGGGGTGTCGTATAACTGGATGCCTTTGTGCTGGGACCGGACACTCTCCTGCCTCTGAAATTCTGCAGGCAAAAAGGAAGGATGCAGAGATGTAATGGATATGTAACACATACTTCCTCACCTGAGACTGCCAGGTGACACCTACAGGAGTTCAGAGCTGCCAGCCAAGGAGGTGAAGACTGCACAGGCATATCGCCCCACTTTCTGCATTTAACTGTTCCTCCTGCCCTTCAAAGGCAGCATCTCTGCTTTCACCAGGCAAGGCTTCCTCACAAAGATCTCCAGCTCTGGGACCTGAGGACAGAACCAGAAGGCTCACTGCCACCATCAGCTTATTCATCACAGTCTCAAAGGCAGGGCCCCGACGTGCACACGATGTTCCAGGAGTGTGGTGACACCAGCCCAGAACAGACAGGGCTCTTACCCCTTGCTTTACAGACAAGTGGGGTCTTCCCAATAGGGTCGTTCTCCATCCTTTGGACTTTCATTCCGTCTGAATAATGAGGAGCTTGGGCTCAAGGATACTCAAGTTTTCACCTAGCTTGCATATTCATTTTTAAAGACCTAACAAGCTTCCCCAGGGGACCTGGGGTTACTATTTTCTCCTCTATAAAGCCCCATGTGCTATCCTTTCTCAACATTTCTACTTCCCCCAGAGTCTGCCTGTCTTCTAACACACTGAGCACATCCAAGGACGTGAGAGCAGATGTCCAGTTCCACATTTGAATAACGAATAAAACCTCTCAATCTTCTGTAGAAGATGCCAAGGACTGGCACCAGTGTGGACTGATAAGGCTCCAGACAAGGGACGTTCATTTCAGCTATTGCTCATTCCTGAGAGGCCAGTGGTGGATGAAAGGTGGAGGCTAGGATGCTACGACTGGGTGCTTCCGAGTCAAACAGGGACACTTCACTTGCTTGGATCATAAACACCCACTGTTTTCAGGACCCACATGGGGACTCAAGGACGGGAGGGCTCACTGCAGAGGCCGCTCTCAGGAACCCACCGTTTCCAGAAAAGATATAGCCACCTAAATCATCATAGTACTCGGGCAAAGGGGCTCGGTGCAGGGCTATGAGAGGCCTGTGAGGGGTGAGGCAGGAGGAAAGGGAGATGGCATTTGAACTGAAAGCTCTGACCACGGGAAACAGGAGAGGACAGGATTCCCTGTGGAAGGCCCAGGGCAAGCCAAGGCGATGGGGCTGGAGAGAACGTGTTCACTGCTTACTGTCCTGTCTTACTGTGGTAAAATATATATATATATAACATTTGCCATTTTGACCATTTTACAGTTCAGTAGCATAAAGCAGGAGTCCCCAACCCCTGGGCCGTGGACCGGTACCTGTCCGTGGCCTGTTAGGAACAGGGCCGCACAGCAGGCGGTGAGCGGCAGGGAAGTGAGCAAAGCTTCATCTGTAGGTGCAGCCGCTCCCAGCACTAGCATCACCGCCTCCGCTCCACCTCAGATCGTCAGGCTTTAGATTCTCATAGCACCAGTTTCTGGTGCCAAAAAGGTTGGTTGGGGACCACTGCATGTTGCTGAGCAACCATCACCACCATCCAACTTTTTCATCTTCCCAAACTGAACTTCCATACCTGTTAAACACTAACTCCCCATTTCTCCCTCTCCCAGGTCCTGGTAACCACCATTCTATTCCTGTCTCTATGAATTTGATACTCTACATACCTCATAGAAGGAGAAATCATACAATATGTATCCTGTGACAAGCTTATTTTACTTAGCATAACATTTTTAAGGTTCTTCCATGTTGTAGCGTGTGTCAGAATTTCATTTCTTTTTAAGGCTGAATGATATCCCATTGTATGTCTATTCACTGTCCACTTTTGCTAGACTACTAGGTCCAAAGAGGTTGTGAGAGTGAGCTGTTTAAGCGGACTCTTCGGGCAATCTCCAAATCAAAGTTCCAATGACATAAAGATACGGTAGAAACCCAGAGGAGAGGCACACTTCGAAGAGCAGCTGACAAAACACATGAGTGACACCGGCCCTTCCAAGATAGAATATCGCTTTCAGTTTGGGCTTCATGATCCAAGGCCAGCTCATGGGGACAACAAATATCCTACCTTGTGCACTCTCCCGGACACAACAAAGCCAACCGAGGCTGTGCCCGTGGGGATCGGTGTTGACTTTAAATAATGTGACGGTACTCTCTCCCAAACGTCATTTAGTCACATGCTGACTTCATGAGTTTGCCGTTTTTGAGTATCAACTAGGTTATTATTTACGTCGTCTCACTTTTTTAGAGAAATAAAATCATTTGAAAAGTAAATTTTATATTCCCATCCCATAGCCATTATCCAAATAGTTGATAGACATAAAAAGAATGAAGAAAGATAAAACTAGGTAGGTACCACTGCCCACGGGGAAACTGGCCCAAGGCTTGCTTTCCTTCTTCTGAAAAGAAGATGAGCAAGTATGGGAGAGCTGTGGGGGATGCAAGCAGCAAATGGAGAAATCTTCTTTGGCAAATAATAGCTTTCTCTTTTTAGAAAAGAAAAAGAAAAGGAAAAAAACCTCACTATGTGGTTCTTAGGCCACCTAAAATCCTTTTTCCTCTGAGAAGATGTCCCATACTTTGGCAAAACGTGCTTGTTGGGGCCCACAAGTAAACTGGGATCATTTATTAGTTAAAAAAAATTTAATATATATTTTTTCAAATATAGCTTATATACATGGGATCACTAGTTTTGAGGATGATTCATCCCTTTTTATGGGGGAGGAAGAGGAAAAGAGGAGAGCTATAAAAGGTAGGAGCTGGTCACTTTAAGGTGAAGACCAACTGTAAAGTACTGTAGATAACTCTGTGAATCACTAAACCCACCAAACTACCTGACCTGCTTTGTATAGTCATTGCCATCCTCATCATTCTCGCTCTGGTTTTAAGGAGAGCAGTCTACTGAGGGCTGAGGACACCGGCAACACCGGTGATAGGCATTGACCTAGGAAATTCATTTCCTTCTTCATCCTATTTTATAAGCAGGACCAGCAAACCGCTACCAAGTACTCTTACAGTTTACAGGCATTTTGCATGCATATCGATACTTAATCTTGGGCACTGCAAAGCAATTCACTGATGCACTTCTATGGGCCCCTAATAATTAGGAGCATCTGTGCTCTCTCTCTCAGAGCCTAGATGCAAACAGATATTCGATGAATCTGGGTGAGATAAATGAATGACAACTGACAGCCAGATTTACCCCTAAATTCCAGTTAATTTATGAAAGTCCCTGACAGCAGTGATAAAGACCCTGGAAGCCCCTAATAATTAGGAGCATCTGTGCTCTCTCTCTCTCAGAGCCTAGATGCAAACAGATATTCGATGAATCTGGGTGAGATAAATGAATGACAACTGACAGCCAGATTTACCCCTAAATTCCAGTTAATTTATGAAAGTCCCTGACAGCAGTGATAAAGACCCTGGAACAATATGCCAAATGCATATAGTGTAGTATTATACAATATTCAGAAGAGATGGATATTCTACATAAATACCAACCTAAAAGGAAAACACGTGTAGTGAGATTAGCTATTAAATCAGAGGGATTCTCATGCATACACCTTTCATGCGGGATTTATTGTTGCAAAAGCTTCTGTGCCTTACAAAGCTGGGTTAGTAATGGCATGCAGTCAGGGCAGGGGATGTTATAATGGTCACCATTAAAACAAGCTTCCCCCCTTATTACATGGTGAATTCAAATTTTCATTAAGGCCCCAACAACAGGGAACAGTTAAGTAAATTATGGCATGCTAACTGGATGGAATATTAAACAGCCATTAAAATGATAAATCTGAACATTATGTAGCTACATGGAAAAGCGTGCATGAAATTATGCTAAATTAAAAAGCAAAATATAAGATTGTTTATGTGTTGAGAGCAAACTATATAATGTAGGCTTTCCAAACAAGCCCTGGACAATACGAACAATGCCCCGAGGGGAATTCTACTCATTGCTTAGAAATTGCTGCATGCCGGCACATCACATTTTGCTCATAATATCTAAAGTCTGATGACAGCAGTGTTGTAAGTACAGATACACACAAATAAGAGGCTGAAACCCTGACACAGGAAGGCAAACAGCTAGTGCGAATAGAGAAAAAAATTATTTCATAATTATTTTTGAAAGTTGTTTTAAATAATGAATAAGGATGCTAGTAAAGAAAAAATGTAATTAAGACAGGAACACATAAAAGTAAATATGATTTTAAGCAGGTTAGGCTTATTGGAGCTACGAGTGTTTCCGAAGCAGCTGCCTTTCCCTGAGAAAATGTCTATTTAGGGAGCATCTCTCTCAGGAGAGTTTTGCCAAGAGCCAGCCCCAGGAAGTCAAGGGCCATCACACCAGGCCAGCTCAGCAGACGTCATTATCTCCTGACTAATGACCAGCTCCGTCCTCCTTAATACCCAAACCGATCTGCGGCGGTCCAGAGATTGATCTAATAGGGGAGCTGGTGACCATATGTTTTAAGTCACAAGTTATCTGGCCATCACCATCTATAAATTCATGGAAAATGACCTTTGATATCAGGTGGCAGGCTGCGATTTCGTGCCTCTTAGGCAGGCAGCAAAAACATTAAATTGACAGGGTGGGGATTTCTGTTGACCTCTGGAGTAGAAAGGTTTTCAAGTGGAACTACGTATGAAGAAAGAATGGGGAGGAGGCCGGGAGCACTTTCTTTAGAATCAGGATGTTCGAAGTGGAAGAAACCCTTGGGGCACAGAACCAGGAGTGTGAGGCAGGTGTGCTGACCAAGGACTGTAGCCATGGAGAAAGAGGTCAGGGCTAGGGGATTGATTATCTGAGTGATTATCTGAGCAGGTGAGTATCGGAGCAAGGGGCCCAGGACAGAGCTCAGTGCAAACCAGGACCCTCCTGAGTGGATCTAATGACAGTTTAGATCCATGAGCAATAAGCTATACCTACACTTCACTCTAGCATTCACCAACTTTGTGCTCCCCCCGCCCCTACTTTTGCTTGTTTATTTTTTTTCTCTTTGGATCCCAGGAAGCTCAGTTAATTTTAATGCTTAACTTCAATAGT